ATAACTGCTCTGCAGGCCCCTTTTTTTTTTTGTCTCCTGGCCTTGAGGAAAAGTTCCAACATGGCTGAGGTTTGAAGCATGTTGTGCAATGTATTCCCAAATTAATTTTGTAGTCCGTGAGAGTAATGTTTTTTAATTTATAATTTATATTTTTTTTCTCCGTGTATGTTTTTTCTGTAGTAAACGTTACATGAAAAATGGAATCCTGCGTAGTTACATTTCGGGTACACTGAAGTTTACTAGGGGCTCTAATTTCCTTTTTTATTTATATATTTTTTGCTAAAAGGGGTTTAATGTAAGCTCTCGTTTGTCATTACTCATTACGCTGTTGCTGGTAGCATTCCTTTCTTCTCTAAGGATAGCAGTGAATGGGAACCGTGAAATTGATTTTCAATACCAAGTTATTTGTTCCTAGACTTGATCAATGCTACGGTGTTGGCTGTACTGGTAGTTGAGGAATAAACGAATGAGAATGCTAAAGACGTGTATTTGTTTTATTGTTTTTTTCTGTTCCCCTTTTCTTCTTCCATGTTCCTTTCCTCTTCATGGATCTCGAGCTGAAGAAAAGACGTCTTGTGGAATTTTGTGTGTGAACTTTTGTAATATATGTGCTGGTGAAATTGATTTAACGACTAAACCCGCCGAGGCCAGTGAATATGAAATCCTCGTTGCCTGTCCGTTTTCAACATTGGCTGTCTTCCCCCGAGGATATGGGGTCTACTAACTAATCCTCTTCTAATACTGAGTAAGTGAGAGGCGAATACATTCGAGAGAGAGAGAGAGAGAGAGAGTTTGTTGTGTCCACTAAAAAGTTAGTAAAACAAATGCAATCCAATCATGACATCCGGATGGAGATCAGGACGGCTACGGTTTTTGAGTAAGGTCCACCTCCGGGCTTCAACGTCTTTCTTTCCTTCAAGGCTACTTCAGAACTTTTCAGGACTATCTTTTTCAACTAGGCACTAAATTAGATGTCCCGGGAGTATTTAAAGAATGCCCTTTGCTGGAACATTTTTTTTAGCTGGAACATCGAATGGGACAATTTTTTTACCATGCCATCCATCCGTTTGGAGTCTATTTTGTATTGCATATCTTTTGTCTTTGTCGATTTTGTTTTCCAGCTCTCCCGGATGTGGTTGATGTGGAAACATCATCAATTTCGGATCATATAATTCATAGTCGTATCTTTCTGGACTTGAATGGTCTATCAAGTTGGCTTTCTAATTTCCGCGGACCACCGCTAGATCTGCAACCAAATTAAAAGACCACTGCTTGAAGAAGTTACTTGGACGAATTTATTGTGAGATTTTGTCTTGCTGAATCTGATCACTAGTCTCAGATCAAGCCCCACTTTTTCTTACGCATATTCTTTTTCTGTAAAAAGAGATAAAAATGGAAAGATGAATACGACCTAAACTTTCCTATACTGTTGACTTGCAACTTATGACGGACTTGCACTTCAGAGTCCTCTCCAGGATAATTACAATAGTAGTTTATATATGCTCTTTATTCTTTCCTTTTTGTTTTTTTTAATCTCCCATGCTTCCCCACAGTCTTCCTGTTCCCAACTGCTAAATGTAGAATTCGAACCTTGTGAGAGAATTTTAAAAACCTTCCTTAGTCACTGGACCAACCCCAGTGATTAGTCTACGTGTATGGAGTTTTTTGTTGCTCAGGCAACGTATGGGTATATTTTTTAGCAACGTATAGGTATTTTAGTTTATGCATGCTGCAAATCATATGAATAAATGGGCCCTTATTCCAGAGACGTAGATATAAATGTGTTAGAAAGGACCGACTGTTTTTCTTTGGGGTAAAAAATAAAAAGTTCACCGTGGTAAATCTAATACATAGAAAAGTTCTTGTACTTTCAAAACGTACAACATGACACCTCATACTTTGAATTAAATTGTAAAGGTGACGGAATCCGTTAAATTTAACGGAAATAACTTACTGGAATCTAAAAAAAAATCTTTTTTATACCTAATTTTTAACAGATATACTTGTTCTACTCTTTAGCCCTCAATTCTCTCTCTTCAGAGAATAAAACAAATGATTTTGTTGAGCTGTCTTTTGCTTAATTATATCAGGGCATTTTTGTCATTTCATCCATTTCCGTTAAATTTAACGGATTACGTCACCTTTACAATTTAGTTCAAAACATGAGATGTCGTGGTGTACGTTTTGATACCATGGAGGGCGGGCTTTTTTATTTTTTACCCTTTTTCTTTGTCAAAAGCCACCTTCATCAAAGTCAATGTTTCATATTTGTTTTGTTCTGAAACCGTCCGTGAGCTTATTATTGATTGGCTTTTCAATCATTCAGTTGATGATGAAAACGAACAAAAGCAGATGATAAAGAGATGTGACCTGAATGATCTGATGGGAAAAAAATGCCTGATGAAGCGTATGAAGAAAGTTAGAATGCTGTCAAGAATGATGACGACGACAAAGTGATTATAAGATATCAGCTGCATACGAGTTGACTGCAGTAATTCACTAATTTTTAAAGAAAAATAAGAGCTTCCATTTAATGGGGAGATGGCCGATATTTCAGTCCTTAGCTCTGCAGGTCTCATGTCTTTAAGAACTAAGAAATCAGTATAGCACATGAAGGAGGGTCCATGTCCAATTCCGTTAGCATCTTTAGGACCAAGTGTAGTACTATCCCACAGCTTCTCCTTTCACGTTAGAATCTGCAGAACCAGATAACAACTGGACGGCAATTTTGTTTGTCGATGTTTATTCTGAATTTTCAATTTTATGCATATGAAATAAAAAATAACTACTGTTGAAAATGTAAATATATTTTGGTTCCCTTTGATCAGAACAGAGATTAAAAAGAAAAAGCATTAGGCCCTTAAAAGCTTTCTACAATTTATTCAATAAATTGTTAGGATTGAGAGCATTGGGATTGGCATTTGGTAATGCAGAGTTCAGATTTGCTGCTTCTTCTAGCTTGTACAACTTTTGATTTGAGAAATTAATGTGATGACCTAATGTACATAATATCTTCAACGGTCCTGTGCGGATGTAGAATTTAGACATCTTCCACCAATTAGCATAGACGGGGGACGCAGTCCGAAGATTCCTTGCATGGGATCTCCAAACCCGCCCTAATGTGCGGATGTAAAGGGCACAAGTATGTTCTGCAACTATTGGCAATGAATTTTAATCTATTTCTTCTTTTCAATTTCCATAAGATACTTAACGGCGGCTAGAATTGTGAAAGATTTTGCAGCATAATACTCTCGGGAGCCTAACCTTCATGTTTTAGCTTAAACAGTGACAAAAGTACTTGTTTAGCATGTATTGCAACTAATCCTCCCTTTCTCACTGTCTGCCTTTGTGAGCGCACAATTAAAATGCACGTGTGCTCATGGAATTATTCAATTATTGATCCCAGAAAAAGGAGAAAAGACCGATATGTGGAGTTATTGGTGAGACCGAGCTCTTATATTTTAACAGAATGCGGACAAAGATTTCTGTCAGTGTGGAAACATGGTTTGACTTAACAGGAAATATCAATAAATTATCCATTCAAGTGCTTGATTTACTTAGGTTAGGCTAATTACAGGCTAAAAGCTGTAGTTACAAAGGGGACAGACATAAAATAATGTACGACTGTAGCTTATAGGGTTTTAGACTGCGTCGGAATGGTAACATTTTTTTTTTATTAATACTTTTCAATACGTTTCTGGTTTTGAACATCAATCTCATGCATGCAACTTTGCAAGATTAGGAAGATTAGTTTTGCCTGCAATGAGTAATGGCTCTAAGGAGGAAAAGGATAAAAATTATGGGCTTTTGGTAATGCTTATCAATAAATTAACTCAGAACCTTTTTTTTTTTTTCCAAATTCATGGGCTTTTATTTGATGCCGGTATATCTTCCTAGGTATATCTTACTGTTGCATCCTAAATTGCCATTCAAGGTGATTCTTGTAGAGGAATTATTCTCTAAGGTAATCACAATTACTACTGTACTAGAAAAAAGAGTGTCAGGACACAGGACACATAGCTGGAGGACTCGTCTTTTTCTCGGAATGGGTGTAACTCTCGGAGATATGGGTTCATTCTAAGGATGGTAAGATCTTCAATGAAGATTTGAAAGAAATCCCACAAGAACAAATTCAATAATTTGGACTCCTTTAACATATATGTGTCTTATTTTATTGAGTAGCTGTCACAAGAGGTGGGGTTTAAGTTTTTGGTCCGTTTGCTAGAAATCAAGAATAAAACATCAGTTTTCATCATAGATATTGTCCTCTTTGAGATTGACCAGATTATGTTACCGGATTCATCCATCTCACTCCACCTCATGGAGTTTTTTCTCTAGGCTGGCGATCCTCAGGAGTATAGCATTGTGGCTTCCTTAATGTCCCTTGAGCTTTGTCTGTGCTCGATGATGACCCTCCACTGGCCCCTTTTTTTTTGTTGCTTGTGGGTGCTTGTCCTTGTACACAGCTTAAAGTCACGAATTAATATCTGCATGTGGCCCTATAAAAGGCATTAAACCTTTAGCTAAATCGGGTTTTCAGTGGTAATAGTACGACCTGGATCGGTTATTTACTCCGAGCCGGTTCCCTAATAACTATGGCATTTACAAAATCACATGATTATAGCTTTTCTAAAGCTAAAAGCTGTGATTCTTTGTCATGATAATATCCCTGCTTGATCACTATGGATTTTTCCCTGGTCTGACCATTGGAGCCCCGCAAACTTTTTGTTGTATCAAGCAATCAATTAATTCTTGGCTACGGAATGAAGTTCCACTATTGCAAATCCAATGTAATAATATCTTGTTCAGACAGGAAACAAACTCTATGTGCTCTGATTTCTCTGTGCATGTATTCTTAGGATAATAATCTGTAGGATCAAATAATGCACAAAATTGTTAGATTTCTAACCGTTCAAATTGCGTTAATAATTAATGGATCTGCTGGAGGCTGATTAATTATATTTGGGTGCTGTCATTATCCAGAGCAAATGAAAAATAGATAGAAAGAAAAACTACTATTGACATTTATGTTCTGAGGTTGTTTCCCACTGCATAGACAGGAAGAAATAACGAAAAGAAGAGTAAATAAAGGTGGGTAAATACAAGATCTGCAGATATATTCTGTCTTTTACTTTTACACGGAGAAATTCTCCCTTGGTAACTCTTGCTTCACATACAGAAAACATACTTTGCCTCCTCCTTCCTTTAGAATCTCCTGTTTACTCCCACAAACATAAACAGGCACAATTAGGATTAAAGCAGGCATGAAATCCACAGATTGACTGTATATAAGACGACTTACTGGATTCTTCTTAATCATCTTTTTCAGTTATAGATGGCTTAAAAAATCCAAAGTGCTTGCTCAGAACAGATTTGCCCTGAAAGAACATAGAATATGCAGAAACACTTGAAAAGAGCGAGGAAAAAAATTGAGGAAGACAAAGAGAATTCAATAAGGAAGATCACGGATTGTTTTTATTTTCAGAAACCAAACAAGCAAGAACCTTGAAATGTGTTGCAGAAAAGCCTTGAGACAAGCATGAATCATGCTCCGTCGAATAGTTGTCGTTATAATTAAGAGCTGCATTGTTCTCAAAGAAAGTCCCATGAGAAGCCTGGAACATGAGAATTCAAGTCAACTCAGTTATACTAGCATCAAAATGAACTAGCATAGGTCCATTACCTGTGCTTTGGACTTCTGTGGAACATATGCGCTGAAGAAAATTAAAAGGGGCTTCTAACTCTACCACATTATTGTTTTGTCATATGTACTACTTGCCTTCGAGAAGCTCAGTACTGGGGAGCTAGCAGTATCATCGAGATGAGGATTCTGTTGCTTCTTCCCCTGCTGTTTTGCTTTCTTTTTATGCTTGCTCTTTTTTGGTTCTGAAACTGAAATACCGCTAGCATATCTGGTCTCTTCAAAGCTGTCTTCATCCTGATGGATATGTGGAGGTCCAGACGATGCATCTGACAGCATGGACAAATCTTCATCTTCTTCATCCTCATACAGGTATGCCCCTTTGCCTAGAGAATAATCATTAAATGGCAAACTTCTGTTGCATTGATCTGCAGAACTTGAAAATGGATCCAAATACCTAGTCCATCCAGACGCACATCCATTACTATATTCAGAAGCTGGTAAGTTCATGCTTAACAGGCCTTTTGGAAACACAGTTGGCGATTTAATACAGATTTTTATGATGAAGAAGAGCCAGTAACACTCAGAGAATGACCTTTCTGTTCTTCCTTTGTTGGTTCGATATATAGTAAGTAAGAGAGTAGAAAGTATAGAGTGATATTAATCCAAACAAAACGTGTATTCAAATCCTAGACCATTTTTGTCCTATGCTCCATCCTTTTGCCTTTATTTTTTTATCTGATTTTGTGGAGAATCAAATTGCCAGTTGGCTTGTCATTTATTTGGTAGGGTGGGGAAGGACTCGAGGGGGAAGGGGGAAGGGTGGGGGATTGATTATTGGCAATTGGTAGTGGCAAATTATGGTAAGGTCTGTTACATTTTTTCTTTCACACCTCTTTAGACGATACCAAGAAATCTTTCGCGTTTTAGGGGAAGGCAAATTGTAAAGAACCCCAGTTGTCAGGAAGCCATCGTCTCTTCCTGAACAAGTCCATAGACAGTTTTCCACCAGCCAGCACCAAACCACTTTTCAATGATATTATGTCAACCTTAAAATAGTTTTAAGCGAATTAGTACTCATCAGTCATTTTAAAACTTTGATCGACAGTGTACGTGAATGTTAAACTCTGAATGCATCAGATACGGCTAATTAGTTCCCCACTTTTTTAGCATTTATCTACATTGGCCTCACTGACTGACTACCAGAAATCCCTCATAAAATGCTAAAAAAATGTGAAGTTTTTGGTACATTTTTAGTATTCTGACAGTGCAAGTACTTATCTGACTAGTCAATTCAGTTTAAGATTGCTTTAAACGTCTTGCATGAGAGCATGGATTAGCTTAAAAAAATCTATCTCTTCATCTACAAAATAGGATTATATAGTTCAAAAAACCGACAGTGTCTTCCCTTAGTTGCTAAAGGAATTTACCCGTTCAAACTCTTGACTATGTCTAGTGTCTTTCTCAAAAGGGTTTTGAACGCAGCAATCTGTCCACTCAAAAACTGCATCATATCTGTCCGTCTGGATGAATGGCAATAAAGAACACCAATAGAAGAGCTTGGATTCACCAAATACTCTTGTAGCAATCTGGAATCTAAAAGTCATGCAGTTTTCTTGATTGTGCATTTCTGATGTTTGGGCTTCTAAATTCTAATGCGTGTTTTCTTGATTGTGCAAAGAAAGCTTTTCTCTGTCGAACATAATATACAACCTACAACAAGTGCTATGCAGTATAAATTACCACAGCTCAAAATTCGGTTGGTGGTATTACGAGGCAAAAAAGTAGATTATACATTGGCGGCCGAAATTGGGGAGTGCAAGTCTCAGTAGTTGAGTGCTTCATGGGGCGGTAGTAGGGTATATTTCCGAGTCAGCTGGTCCCAGACCCTAAAATCATATGATATGCACATGCCCTTTTGCTGGCTTTGTTGTAATGCTGAAAGCCGTTCCCATTCGTCATATGTACAGTGAAACCTTAGTCTGTCATGATACATGATTGGAATATTTGTGATGAAGATATTCACCTCTGCATCAATCAACCTAGTCATTTTACGAAAGTATAAATCAACACAGCTAATTGATGGACTGTAAAGTGAAAAATTGCCAACTTGATGATCATAGAGATGAATGATGACAAAGTTAGGAAATTTGGTTTAATTTTCCTTTAGGCAAGTAATTATTTTCTACATTTTTGTGGAATATTGACTATTGAGTATGGTGTTTCGAAATGGGAAATCCTACCCTAAGCTACATACGGTTTAAATACATAAACTAAAAAAATTACTAACTGACTTCATGGTTTATTTCTTGATTTTTATGAGTTTCAGTACTTGCATTCGTGGCATATGCATATCATGTTTTGAAAGTCGTTTTTTATAGGTGAATTTATGTGAGGTTAATTCCTTGCAGGACTAATTCGACTTGGCTTGGCAATGAAATCACTGGTTTAACTGATAACCTGTTGATACAGTGGCCTTCATGGGTCATTGTCCGCCGGCTTTTTATTATATATTAACTACTGTATGGTTTTTGACGAGAATACCAGGAAATTGTCGCTTCGCCTTGAGTTGGAACTTGGATGCCCGTTGACGTCCCTAACGCTTGCCAGACTGAGAAGTTCTGATATGACAACTGAAGAAATTTAGGTTGTCAACTTGGCTTTATCCGGACAAAAGCACAGACCGGGGGATTGGGATAAGATTCGTTGCAGTTTGTCAAGAAAGAACTGAGATCCTGTCTTCATTTTAACATCCAAAAAGCTAGGAAAACCTCCATTTGACTGTGAAATTTTAGAATTGCATGTATCACTTCTTAGGGCAAGAAAGTCAACAGCCGTTTGGTACCCATTCCACCGTCTTGTAAAGTGTTCAGTGTTCGCTCATCTCTGCTGTAAACATGTCTGTACGCTAGCAATCTTCAACTTGACCTTAGCTTGCTGAAGCTAATTGGGATTTGGGACTACACTAGAAGAGGGTACTCGATCGATAATTAGGGTGGTGCAGAAATCTGCAGTCATGAAGTTGCCAACGTGGTCCCTTTGCATGCACAGGTAAGGTTGAATTTGGCTGTTTGTTTGTTTACTTCGTCATGAGTTCAAACTTCAAACCTGTGGAGGAGTCCCCTCTCTCACATGAAGACATCTTGAGTTGAATCTTGATGTCTTTTCAACACTATTTAAGACCACATCATTTAGTCAAATTTCCATCCCCCACTGTTTATGTCAGAAGAAAAACACGTCCCTTTTGTAAATTAATGTAGCTGCTGCTAATTTTCCATGCTTTACATATCAGCGAGGCCCAAAATGTTTCCTCCATGTAAGAACTAAGAACATGCATATTGGTTAATATAACGGTCATTAGAATAAAAGAATTTGCTTTACATTGGTGAAGTTAATAGCAATTTATCATGTCAAGTTTACTGAGCTCAGCGAAGAAGGGCCAAAATGCCCAGTACACATGAAACAGGCAGATGTGTAATGGGATGAATTGGTCGCTCAATAATGCTAGCCATCTGAATGGACGACGAGCGGTATTAATATTTGAGTGGACCAAACAGAAGAGAAAGGACTACCGTTCTCTCTCTGTGACAGCCGTCTCGTGTCCCGTTCCGTTTATTGTCCATACAAATGCCCAGAGAAATGTTCATTCATTTGTGATCACATCAACGTCAAACTGACACTTCCATACAAGCATCAAATTTGCTAGCAAACCCCCTGTATAGCTCATTTCACCTGGACAATGCTCGTCATTGTTCGGCATTAAATGGTTCCAACTTTTACACTTTTTAGGTGAAAAAAAAAACAGAAAGAAGAAAAAGATTCAAGAAACTGTCTCATCTCGTGAGGTACAACATGATCTTAACTTTCCGGATAAAGAGCTAAATAGGTAAATATTAAGTTAGCCCGTCATCACTTCAGCTTAATTAAAGAATCCATGACAGAATGATTGAGGAAGAGGAAGACAGCATCCAAGAATCATTAACGTGTGGTGTGGGGAGAAGTTGGACTAGAAACAGCTAGCAGCTCTTTTGGGGCTTTTATTCTGACAGCAGTAAGAGCATTTGCATACAATCTGGGGCATTGTCCTCCGGCATTCTTCTTAATTTGTCCTTTAATTTTGACTTGTTCTAGAGATCACGTGAAAACATTTTATGGGTTTCGGTTGGATTTCTGATTTTAATTTGACAATTGTAAGCAGCAGCAAAAGAGTGCGGCATGATTAGTTGTGCGTCTGATTTGTATATGTCAAAAAAACTCACGAGGACAGTGGACCAGCATCGTACAGGGCTACTAAACTCGTCTTAGTCAAGCGCCACACGTGCGCTGTTTGAAAGCCATGTGCCCTACAATTATGTCTCGTTGCTTCTCAATCAACCCTTGCTGCTGCATCTGCAATTTGCTCACAAAAACTGAAAAGTAAAATGAAGAAAGAAAGGATTTCAAGGTTGCTGCTGCAGAGAAGTTGTAGGGTACAAAAGCACATTCATGGTATGCATAATTTCACAAAGCAAAACCTCAGATTCCGGCCCGAGTACCCCATTTTTATGACAAAGTTACTGAATTCAAGCGTTCCTACTCAGGAATGATTGGTGGATATCAACTTTTTCTGGTGACAATTGAATCCATCGTGTTCATCCATGATCCAATTATCGATCATGTTTGCCTTTTCAGTTTTCTCCCATGCCTTTCTTTTTTTTTGGGGGGGTTGATTGTAGACCACAGCTTGTTCAGAAGTAATGCAGGAACATATAATTTGTGTTACGTGAATTATTTTAGAAAGCAAGAGCATGGCAAAATGTTGAAAGAGGTTTCTAAGCTACCTAATCATATGTTCTTTTCAAGAACTAGTCACACACATCTCATGAAATTCGAGCTACCTTCTTTGATAAAAAGAACTAAAAGTAGAAACTTTAAATTCTAGATTATCGCGAGAGTTTTGTGCAAAATGTGTTGCATCGAGGCATTAAGCTCACGTATTTATCAGTAAATCTCCTCATAGGAATCGCATGAGAGTTCTCCTCCATTTTTCATTAGAGCTTTCGATTATGGTTGTGATTGTTATTCACCCAACAGTCAAATTCTCAAAGTTGGTTTAACAACACTTATACCATAACTTAATTCATATATTTGTTCTCGCCCAAGTAAAAATTGACCCAAATGATAGTTCTTATTCTCATCGCTAGTATTGCAACCCACAATTCCAGAATTCCCTTTTTTTTTTTATGTCAACGGATACTGTATGGTGAATCAGTTATGTAATACTTGAAGTGAATCTTATATATATTGTTAATGTATACACTACTCCCGTTAGATCCATAACATATGTAAACAAAATTAGATTTAAAATTCAAAATTTGCATAATTATTATTGATTTAAAATTAATAATGTATACATTATCTATATATAGATGATCAATCCATATACTTATTATTCAAGTAACATATGGTGCCTTTCTAGGAAGTGAAATTGGACTGTTACTATTGTCCCAAAAAAAAAAAATTTTATTGGACTGTTATAATTTATAATCAATTATAATATTTGGAAACACCAAAGAACAACCGCTTTCTTAGCTCAGTTGGTTAGAGCACCCGTTTAGTAAGCGGGAGGTCTTGAGTTCGACTCTCAAAGAAAGCAAAGGTATTTTTCGTGCTAGTCTAGTGTTCTTTGCGCGTGGTATTGCTTTTGCTAGTCTGTTTTTCTTGGCGTTGGGCGCCGACTATCTGCCTTTGTATATTTTTTTGGTGGGGTTGCTTTTGCCAGTCTGTTTTTTGCGCAGACTATCTGCCTTTGTTTTTTCTTTTTGTTTGGGGGTGGTGTGGTGGGGAGGTGAGGAAGTGGAATATGGTGTCGGCAGAATGTCGTGGCCCTTTCTGAGCACGGACAAAATCAAAATCAAGGCTTTACTCATATGGTGAGTTGTCATTCTGGAAAATTATGAACATCCAAGAAATGTTCTCTGAGATAGCATTTATGATTCCAGACGCGGATGAATCCTGCAGAAAGGTCCAGAGTCGAGAGTCGAGACATTTATTCTCTTGCCAACTCCTCCAATTCAATGTCTAGCTCATTTACCTTCCCTCTTAGATGCAAACTTAAGTCCCTAAAATCAGAAAGAAAAAGCTTAGGATCATAAATGCGACTTCAAACAGAACCCATTTCTGAAATGCCAGGTTTCTCTCAATCAGCCGTGTTGGCAAAGCTTTTGCTTTATAGCTGTCTTTAGAATTTACCATCAAAGAATTACTCCTATCAGTTGAATCAGAAGTGTGATTAGCTCTAGTTACAACTTTAAGTTACTCGTTGCCTTCCCAGATAAGCTCTTTTGGATGATTAGAAGAACCGATTATTTGGATGCCGTTTATTGAGTCTGAAATGCTTTAATCAGGGGCTTCAAGAGCGGCCGTCGAGTGCCTGCTAGAGGAGAGACTATTGTCTATTATTATACTCTGGGCTGGCACCTAAGGATCTGGTTTACTTGTCCAATCTCATTACTACTGCCCAATTCAACGCGAAGATGCGCTTTACATGGACTCCACAACAGCTGTTCCTTTAGTCCATTTTGTTTTGGGCTTGTGTAGATTGTGCCTTTATCCTCCAACTTCTTGCAATCTTTAAAACCCAACTCAGTTGGTTTGTTTGTTTACCATCATCATAAGATTCTTGGTTTAGGTTCAAACTCTTCCTTTATCATTTTTCTATAAAAAAAAAAAAAAAAAAATCTTACATTTAGTCACCTATTTATCTAGTATTTAGTTGTAGATGTATTTCACTTGGTCTCAACAGATATTCATAGAAATTAGAACATGTAATATTCTTATTCTCCTGGACCAATTCTACGTATTAATTAGCAGAAAATGAATAATGGTACATGAAGCCAGAAAATTCCTTGTTCTTTCCGACTCCAAAGCCTAGTTCATTAGTTTTTAGGACATTGAGAATATGATTTGGTCTTGATCAGAGAGTAATAACTAAAAAAATCGCCTTTGAAAGCGGCTATCTGAATCCCAAAACGTCATTGGTCCCTTATTCCCTCAAAATATTTTCCATTCTAAACTTAAACTAAAGGGTCATTTTCCAAGTGTTTTCTGTTTCTCGACTCAGCATTTATGCAAACCACTTGGGGCTAACACCGTGACTCCGGCTGGAATATTTGTAGTTTCTGCATGGACTTGCTGTCATAAATCTTAATATGTTCTCCAATGACGGTTGAGTCTTAGTTCCCATCGAGATTTCGACATTTGGCGTTTACTCCCGTCTTCTTGCCTTCCTTGAATCCAAAAAAAAGGCCGTGGTCATGTATCCTTGTACCCCTTAGTTACACAAATTCTTGAAACATCATTCTTCTCTCTTTCTCATTGTTCTGTAAACCAGATTAACAACGGCTATGGAGCTCAAAGAAAATGATCCAACGCTTTCCAGATTAAGATCAGCCTGTGATGATCTCAAAAAACTTGTTCATACCTCGGTTAGTGTAGATGCAAGCTTAGAAGAAGCGGATAAGAAATTTGCTGTGATGCATGAATCTCTAAGTATGGCATCAAAAAGAGTTGCTCCTTTACAAACACTTTCAATTGCTAACAAAGCTCTTGATACCAGAATAAATCGAGCAATTTCTCCTGCTCTTACCCTTCTTCAAAGCTTCAAACTCTCCGAGTCCCTGCAACGTAAGCTCCTTGAGCTTGCCGCGAAATTATCTAATGAAACGGTACCGAAGAAGAGGCTTAAGAAATTGATCAAGTACGTGGAGTGTGTGGAAAAATTGAACGGGTCGATCGATTCTATTAGTCAAGAGTGCGAGCCAGCAATCCAGAAGTTGCAGGAAGTGGTGGAGTTTCTGAGTAGGACTAAGGCCACAGATCAGTACAGGACGCAGCAACTTAAGGAAACTTTGATCACTCTAAAGGCTCTTTATGAGACAGAGGTTGATGCAATGAAGTTTGATGGTTTGCTTGATGAGGCTTTACTGAATCTGCAAGATGAATATGAAAGCTTGTTGCTGCAGCTAAGGCATGAGGATATAGGCCAAGCAGAGAAGGATGATGTGCAGGAGATTGTGCCTACAGTGTTGGGCAGTGAGCTGGAAATTGAAGTTCTTGAACGAATTTCAAGGACCCTGGCTTCCAATGACTGTATGGATATATGCATCGATATCTATGTGAAGGTAAGATCTATCCCTCTCCACGACCATGTCCATTCCATGGAGGGCAAGAAGCAGAAATCCAATGAAACCATTAACATTTATTTCATTTAAGACTTTCATCTAACACACAAAAATGCTTGTTTATAATTCTGTTGCTCTTTTGCTTCGTATTTTGGCCCTCATAAGAGCCCCATTTAGGTAAGGAATTTGTAACCAGCAAGGAGTTTCAGCATAGTCATTCTCATTTATCCATCTCAACCATAATTTTTGTACTCAACTATTTCTCAAATTCTTTGCAATGATGAATTACAAACCATAGAGCTCAAGAGACCTGAAATACAGGATAAGAAAACTGATATACTTCGCGTAGGATATCTCAGAGTGGATCTCCTTGGAAAAAGAAAAAAAAAAGAGTTGAAAATGCAAGGATGAGCGCTTGTTACAATTATGATGATAACAGAGTATTTAATTCAGAGGATATGGTGTGTTTGAGTTGGAGTAAATCCGAACCAGATTGTGTAGATTTTAGGGCAATAAACAGGAAACACGTTTGCGTTTCAAAGTGACAGCTTTGAAGAAGCAAAATAACTCCATCAATATCAGAATACTGTAATTGATTCTAGTCTCAAGTTTTAATTACTATTGCATTATAATGCTGTTCCTAAACTGATCCTAAGAATGCGTTTCACTTCATCACTAGGCAAGATATAGAAGAGCAGCCAAAGCATTGATGAGACTGAATCCAGATTACCTGAGGACTTACACTCCCGAAGAAATTGATGAGATAGAATGGGAGAACCTAGAGACAGCAATATCCCTTTGGATCCAACACTTTGGACTGGCAGTGAAATCTGTTCTTGTATCAGAGAAGAATCTCTGCAGTCAAGTACTAAGAAGCATTATGGAGGGAGTTATATGGCCTGAATGCTTCACCAAGATTGCTGACAAGATCATGGCTGTCTTCTTTCGGTTTGGTGAAGGGGTTGCGAGATGCAATAAAGAACCACAGAAGCTATTCAAGCTCCTAGACATGTTTCATTCCTTGGAAAAACTAAAACCTGAATTCTCAGAGACTTTTGATGGTGAAGCTGGTGCTGATATCTGTGATAGATTCCGAGAACTTGAAAAACTTTTAGTTCATGCTTCAACAAAAGTCTTTTGGGAATTTGGCCTTCAAATTGAAGGTAACCAAGACGGTCTACCTCCACCACAAGATGGCTCAGTTCCAAAATTAGTTCGATATGCCATTAACTATCTCAAATACTTGGCATCAGAAATTTACAGTAAACCCATGGCTCAGGTATTCAGGATTGAGCAATCATGGAAAGCTGGCATTCTTTCAAAGCCAGAAACAGACGAGAACTTACTCAGAGATGCTATTGCCAATGTCATGGAAGCGATCCAGAGGAACATTGAGTCAAAGCGATTACGTTACAAGGATAAATCACTTTCCAATGTATTTGTCATGAATACTTACTGGTATGTTTACATGAGGACAAGAAATACTGAACTTGGGAAGCTCCTGGGAGACCAGTACATGAAAAAGCAGTACAAAATCGTTGCAGAAGAGTCCGCATATTTGTATCAAAAGCAAACTTGGGGAGCTTTAGTGAGATTGCTTGATAAAGAAGAACTCAACAGAGTTAACAAGGATGGTATTGGAGCCGTTGCAAGGGGGAAAATGGAGGCCTTCATGAAAGGATTTGACGAGATGCTGCAAAAGCATAGAAGTTTGTACAACATTCCAGATGCAGACTTGAGAGACCAAATGGGAGATGCAACCATCAAGCTTGTAGTTCCTGTATATGAAGAGTTCTTGAGCACTTATTCTTCTGTTTTACAGGCCAAATCCTATCTATCTCCGACGACAGTCAAAGGATTGTTAGGACAAATCTTTGAGGGTGGCAACCAGCAAATGGGTAACGGGAGATCATCTCTCCGGCAGCGCGGTGAAAGAGATTATATAGGTGGAAGGCTGTCAATCTCACTCGAGAATTCTCGTGAGATGAAAGTTGGAAGGCCATCAGTCTCACTAGAGAATTCTCGCGAGATGAAAGGCTATAGCCGCTCCAGATCAAACAGCAGTGACGTGTGAAAGCAGTCAGAGAGCTAGAAGGCATCGTTACAAGACCATTTTGTCAGATACCTTCCATCTTCTAAAAATTTTGATTATGGAGATGCCAAAAAGACTAGTTATGAGATTTGACACGGTTAAAATTTTCGCATCCTAACCAAAAGCTTGTTTTGTATTAAGGTTTGATGGGTTGGCTTTCCATCAGAGTAGGAGCTCGGTTTCTTCAATGACTGCTAAATAGCTCTATGTGGTTATAGAGGAATAGGTAAGACTGGAAACGCTTCAGCTAGACATTTGCATCTGTGCTTCCAAGGATCACTGAAACTTCTTTGCTTGCTACATCGTATACTTGTTACAAGCCATGGAATTTTTGTGCAAGATTTGTGATATTTTGTACGGAAAGGATAGATTTAAAGTATGCATGAGAAATCAACTCAAGCTATCTCTACATACCCTATTGGTTCCGGATCAACAATCAAGAAAAGGGTTGAATCCTCATCATCCTAAACCATTATATAGTGCTGACTAAAAGTAACTGTAAACACAATTATGCTGTTAAATGATCTTAACGAAGAAGAACAAAATCCGCCCGCCCATACGGTAAATGCTTGTTGGAGCCTGATTCGCCGTTTAATCAAGCAAAAACATAAACAGAACATATTAACAGAATTTAAACTTCATTCATTTTCGAACGAGTTCAATTAGAATAAAATTTATAGGTTATATGCTAAAAAATTCAAGCAATTCGAGCTCCAAATTATACGAAGATTACAGACTAAAAAATTCAAGCAACTTGAGTTTAAATCGATGAAAACTTGTTTGAATTACTAAACAGATAAGCTAATATTGAATAAAATTTAAATATCATTAAAATAAATAATTTTGAGCATCAAATTTGACCGAGGATTAGAGCGGTAAACGAGTCAAGTCAAATCGAATTTTGGTTTAATCAAATTGAATCTTGATTTAATTTTACCAAACTTGAACTCGACAAGCTCTCAATTTAAATTCGAGTTTAACTTCAAATTCAAGTCATGTTGAGCTCGAACTTAAGTTTAAAAAATAAAAATAATTATTTTTTTAAAAAAATAAATAAAATAGTTATTTTTTAAATAAATAATAAAATATTAGAAATATATATAATTTTAATATTAAAATAAAAATTATATATATATATGGAGACACACACACACACATATATATATATACACACGACACACATACATACATATATTTTTACACACACACACACACACATAATCAAGTCGGATGGCCACCACATATAAAAAAATAGAAAAAAAAAATCACTGGGCCTTTGGTTCAGTGGCCGCTCCTTAGGGTGCACAGGCGGGTTTAAAATCACCACATATAAACTCGACTTGAACCACCACCGGACCAGACGGGTGTGCACCCGTCTGGTCCGGTGGTGGTTCAGTCCCCTTCGGCTTATTCCTAGGTTTCCTTAGACCCGTTCCTTCCCCTTAACGTAGAATAGATTAGCTTTATCGCCTCCGAAAAAAAAAAAAAAAAAAAAAAAGTCGGATGGCAAATTAATGAAGTAAATATCTTTGAACTCAAGTTTAACGGACCTTGAGCTCGACTGCGATTCGGGTTCTGTGTTAATCGAGCTTGAGTTGACTTTTGACTTGAGTTGCTCCGCTCGGTTGAACTATTATGCAGCCTAGAGAGGACAGAGCCAGAACAGGGCAGGGATGTTTATTACGTGTATCGGGGTTGAAGCCCAGGTGTTCTCAGTTACTTACTACTTGAGTCTTATTGCTATGGTTTTTGAATCTGCCAGTCAGCTGTCCCAAAGGTAGGAAGCTTCTCTCTAAACGCAGGAATAATCCATTCCCCTCTGAAGAATCTTCTCTCCTTCACCTCATCCCACTTCTCTCCCTAACCTGCCCCCTTCGCCTTCCAACCGCCTTCCCTGATCTCCCAGCTCCAAGGGGAGGCAAAAAACGTATATAAGCAAAAGCAAGGAAGTGAAATACCCAGCCCCAAAAAAAAAAAAAAAGGGATGGCATCAAATGGAAATGATGGGGACATAAAATCATCATTTTCTTTCTCAGATTTCCCAGAAGATGTGCAGATCTGCATCTTATCATTCCTCGACCAATCAGAGCTCGGCACGTTCGCTTCCACCTCAAAACGCTTCCTTTCTTTGTGCCTCCACGACCAGCGGCTCTGGTTCTCTATGTGCGACCGCAGGTGGGGCCGCTCTAAAACCCTCATCAATAAATGGGGCAACGGTAAAATCTCTTATAAACTTCTCTACAAAACCCTTCTTGAATACGAAAATCTAATTGGATTTTGGCGCCGGTGTGGCACCTCGGCCGGCACTGCCGTTCAACCCTCGTCGCCGCTGGTTTTCTTCGAGTGGGGCCCCTTTTATATCACGGGTTCAAGGGTTTCTCCCTCGAAAACTGGTACTTATGAGGTAATAAAGTTGCCTTTCTTATGGATTAGTTTAACATCTAAAGGTGAGTCCATAAATTATCTTGATCGCGAGGGCAAGCTGGAATTATCTGAGAATTTAGTTGATTCAGGCGAATTGTCGGTTTTAGATAATGATTTGATTCCTGTGAATGTGAGTTTTATGGGGAAATGTCATGTTGTGCTGGAGGAAAGTGTGATTTCTATTGGCAATAGTTTGAATTCAAGTTCGAGTCCAAATGGAAGGTTTATTAAGGTGCATAGTTCAGGGAATGTGAGGGGGGAGGAGTATGAGGATGTTAGTGGATCCCCTGGGAGCTTACCAGATCGTTTAATGTCAGAAATTTATCAGCATTTTGCAAATAGGACGAGTCCAGGTGGTAATGGTTCGTCAAGGAGGCAGAGGAGGAGGGAAAAGGAAAAACAGGGAAGGAGAAAGTTGGAGCCAGAGCATTTTGTCAAGATCGTTAATTGCTCGCCCACACCTGCCCGACCTTTGCAGGGTTTGTGGAAGGTGGTCTTTTGTCCTCTGTATAATTCATTCTTTAGAAGTTAACATGTGTTGTGTTTTTTTTATTGTGCGTTTAGCATTTCAAGTATTGTTTAATCAGAAGCAGTTTCGGTTTTCTATTAAAGAACTAAAAGATTCGAACTCTAGAATGACTACTGATTTTCATCAAGTTTGTTTTTCCACCTCAATTGTAGTAGTTATTTGGTATTCGCACTCTTGCCACACCCAAAAGACTCTCTTTTTTCTGACATGATAGTTGAACTTGGTAATGATGTATGACTTTGGTTTCCTCTGTCCACTGTTTTAGTGGTTCATTTCCATGAAATGTAGTAAATTATTTCTTGTTAAGGTAGGAATTTTCTTTTCAATCAAAGCCTTGAACTTGGTATTAACTCTTTTTTTTCCCCCCCTTCCATTGTCTTAATGCTGCAACTCGTTTGACTTAGTTTTTAGAAGTGGTTTGCTTTTTCAGGTGAAGGATTAGCTAGTAATGATCTATGACTAAGTGCTTTCTGTATCCATGTTCTCGATGCCTCACTTTATTGGATTTGGTTAGTACTGTATCATATAAAAAAATTTGCATCTTCAAGAAAAGGATCCAATTGGTATGTACTACAAGTTGCTTGGTAGATTAGTGTGGGAAATACAAATTGCTTTGTCTATAGCTTTGTCATCATCTGTGGTGCCTTGTTATGTACATCAGCTGGAATTTAGTGCACCATTTTAAGTTTAAGTGACGTCTGTTAGTAGAGATGATTGCAGATGTAGGATTGAACTGGACTTTCTTTTTTGAGTGGATATTTCTAACATACTTTGGTAGGGTGTATAATGCTTTCTCCTATTTGTTGCTGCAGGGCATTGGTGATGATATGAGTTTGGAATTTTATTTGACAAGCTATGATGACATTGGGGGTATAGCATGCCGAAGGATTGAAGACTCATCTAGACCATTTAATGGTTATAACCCAGTATTTTGGACGTCAAGTACGACATTGATTGAGCCTCCCTTTTCTGCTGAAGAAGAATATGAGTATCATAGTCGTGTACATCTGAGGCCACCTGCGGAGGCTGATGACTGCCATGATCATCTGCAGCGTTCAGATCATGGTGCTGTGTCACGCATGCTTCACATGACCTCAAGCTATGATTTGGTTATTCCAGGCACCACTATAAATCCTCGGCAGGTTGAGGGAAGAATTTGGCAGTATAGAAATGGGACGTATGGATTTGGATTTCTTCGCAACAATTATGTTATAGATCTCAAACATATAGCTCAAGATGGGCACCTTCTTGACACAATGGAATTTTCTAATGATTGATCCTTCATGGATCACCCCAACTACAGACAATGAAACGGGATATGTTATGCTTCATTCAATTGTCATTGTACAGATTTTTCTTGCTGTTATTAGGTGCCCAGTGGGCCTTTGTGACGACTTATTTACTGGAAGAATCTCTCTTCTGAAACTTTTTTAGTTTTTGCTATTTTGCACTGTATAACACCCCACTATTTTGAAACATGTCCTTTTATTTCTCTTTATATTCATCGATTTGATTCTTCCCCTTCCCTCCCCCCCTCCTAACCCCTCTCTCTTCCCATTTTTTTCAAATAACACCCCATTAATCTGAAGCATGTTCTTCTACTTCTCTTTGTATTAGTTGATCTGTCCCCAACTGCGCACCCTCAAATGTATGTTGCAAAGTATGTGCTACTAAATTGCTGTGAATCATGAATTATTTACCATGCTTCTCACATTGTCTCTACATCAGTATGATGTAACTTGGTACTCTTGTCTCGTTCGGTTCTCTGCAGTAGTATCATGTAACTTGGTACTCAGTATTGTTCCCAACTAGTAAAACAAGAAGCTGCTTTCAGGAGTTAAGCTGTAATAGTTGAATAACCTTGAATCATGTGTAGCAGCTAATTGCTCCTGGATCAGCTAAGACTCTTGCTACAAAGGTAAAGTTGCTGCTAAAAAAGCTTATTATATAAGCTGTAGCTCTCTGTTTCTCTTTTTCTTTGTGTCATTTAACTGGGATTATTAAGCTTGTCATTTTTCTCTTGAATCTTTCCCTGTTGAAGTGGTGTCTTCCAAGTTGGAGCTGGTGTTATTCATTCCGAACAAGAAGCTCCTTCTCTAACCAATTCCCTGATTAAGTTTTGTTATAGATAACCAGGCTTTAGAAGGGTGTATCGGTTGGTTATGTTCACATTATGACAGCTGCAAGATTATTTCCTGTATTAATGCATGAGCAATCACTCTGGACTGAAATTTGAAGCCTTCAGATATCAGTTTTCAACGGTTTACAAGATCACAACACAAAGCCAAGATTAGCCATCAAAGGCCCACGAACATCCACAAAAGACATTGACAACTCCGACTTTCTTGTGCCTGTAATCAATATTCTTAACTTGATGAAAATGCAGGCTCTAGAGAACCAAATTGATGTTGAAGAGAAGGAAACCAAG